ACCATCCATCCATCATTTGTTCATCCATCCATCCATCCATCCATCCATCCATCCATCATTTGTTCATCCATCCATCCATCCATCCATCCATCATTTGTTCATCCATCCATCCATCCATCCGACCATCCATCCATCATTTGTTCATCCATCCATCCATCCATCCATCCATCCATCCATCATTTGTTCATCCATCCACCCATCCATTCATCATTTGTCCATCCATCCACCATCCATCCATCATTTGTTCATCCATCCATCCATCCATCCACCATCCATCCATCATTTGTTCATCCATCCATCCATCCATCCATCCATCCATCCACCCATCCATCCATCTATCATTTGTTCATCCATCCATCCATCCATCCATCCATCCATCCATCCCTTCTTATCAGATTGCATGTAATGTTCAGCAGGAGGTTTACCAGAAACCACTGTCCTCCAGAATGTTTAAAGATGACAAAATGTTTCTAATGAGGCCTGCTGGGAGAGAAAACGTGAGAACAGAACTGGACTGCAGCTTAAAGTGAGCTGACAAATCCAGCTGTTCATAAACAAGCTAATCTAAGCTGTGATATGTTCAGAAACGTGATTGTTAGTGTCTCCCCTCCACAATACATGAAAACATTGTCAGCATGTGCTTCTGTGAGATAACAGGATGATCGATTTGTTTTCCTGCACAAGCAGACAGACGGTCAGCTGTTGTCTGATCAAATTTAGTTACCCAGAAGAAGACGAGACAGGAGGGTGTGCGGACAGAGAGGACCTGGAAACAGAGACAGATACACCAAGTTTACAGATGTAACTATAAATATTATCTTTTAAGAATGTGCCTGCATCATCCACTGACATCTGCTGGACTTGATGGAGACAGAGAACATCCAGAGCAGAGAAGTTATTTTTACCTACCAGCAGGACCATCATTAATGTTCTGCTTTATTGAGTGAACTTTAGTGTGTAATTCAGTTTGAGGATCCTGGCAGAGCCTGAACATGTTGTCTCTGGCTCCTGTGAGACTCTGAAGCCTCCAGCGAGGCCACTCATCATCCACTAACTCCACAGCATCCTGGTTACCATGGAAACCCACCTTAATCTGGTGATGAGTGGCACACAGACTGTGGGGCTTTGAAACTGGAAATAAATTTATTTTATTCATTCATTCATTGATCCATCCATCCATCCATCAATCTGTTCGTCCTTCCACCAATCTGTTCATCCATCCATTCACCCAATCATTTTTTATTCATTCATTAATCCATCCATCCATCCACCAATCTGTTCTTCTATCCACTAATCTGTTCATCCATTCAATCATTAATCCATCCATCCATTCATCCATCCACCAATCTGTTCATCCATCCATTCACCCAATCATTTATTTATTCATTCATTAATCCATCCATCCATTCATCCATCCATCCATCCACCCATCCATCCATCCATCCATCCACCAATCTGTTCGTCCATCCACCAATCTGTTCATCCATCCATTCATCCAATCATTTATTTATTCATTCATTAATCCATCCATCCATCCATCCATCCATCCATCAATCTGTTCGTCCATCCACCAATCTGTTCATCCATCCATTCACCCAATCATTTTTTATTCATTCATTAATCCATCCATCCATCCACCAATCTGTTCATCCATCCACTAATCTGTTCATCCATTCATTCATTAATCCATCCATTCATCTATCCACCAATCTGTTCATCCATGCATTCACCCAATTATTTATTTATTCATTCATTAATCCATCCATCCATCCATCCATCCATCCACCAATCTGTCTATCCAACCACCAATCTGTTCATCCATCCATTCGCCCAATCATTTATTCATTCCTTCATTAATCCATCCACCAATCTGTTCATCCATTCATTCATCCAGTCATTTATTCATTAATCCATCCATCCACCAAACTGTCCATCCATCCACCAATCTTTTCATCCATCCGTTCATCCAATCATTTATTCATTCATTCATTATCCATACATACATACATACATAAATACATTCATCCATCTACCAATCTGTCCATTCATCCATCCATCTGTTCATCTATTCATTCATTAATCCATCCATCTGAAGATTTTTTCCTTGACAATCATTATATTCACCAAACAGGAAATGTCCAGAAGTAGTGTTGAAGGCTGTTAGCTGAAACACAGCCATTAAAACAGACTCAAATATAACCAAATGAATATATTTTATAAGATTTTATCACCAGATGACCTGAAACACCCATCAGGACAAATGCAGTAAAGCTGCGCCTGAATTAAATTAGAGATTAAATCAGACCTGGTAATTATGTGGGCATCTGGTTAATTTCAGGTTGATTTAGTTTAAATCTGCAGCTAAAATTACTGCTATTATTTGAAACATACTGCAGTACAAAAACACGTCTAAAGTAAATAAAGAGGCTGTGATTTTATAATGGCAGTGATACATTAGGTCCATCAGTCCTCCTCTGCTGCATTACCCCCACCCCAAATAAAAACCAAAAATATGAAAATAAAAACAAGCCTCACATAACTGAAAACCCACAGAATAAAACATTGCATTCATCATGAAACAAGTCCAAGAGGAAATAACCCAACTAATACATCTTTGTGAGCCACAGAAAATTGTAAATATGTAGCCAAAATTAAGACAGATAAACTACTAAAAGCTGGGTATAAAAACTTTCCTTTTTTTTGGCCTGAAAACTTTGAACTTTGTGGCAGAGGCAGATCAGATCCAGAGCTACAAAGCAGACAAACAGCATGGGTTCCTCCCACCACGCTGCACTGAGCATCTATTAAATGTTGGTCCGGGGCTGGAGTTTTCTTGATTAAAGGGATTAAGAAGACGTGCCAACACAAAACAGAAACATAGCTTTGTTTTTGTTGTGGGGGCAAGTCTTTGGAATGACACAAAAAAAAGCCTCATCTATGATTTTCTTGTCATTTGAACATCATTTGTGTGAAAACAACACAGGAGACCAGAACCACAAAACCAGAATTTATTGTACTGAAAGCAGATTAAAGGCCTACGGTGTATTAACAGGATATATTTATGCAAGTATTAATGAACAAACAAAAGAGTTTGTGTGAGCTCATATTGAATCAGGTGCGTTCAGATAGCTTTCAACAAAAAGTGGAGTCTTATCTTTACAAAACTACAGATTGGTACAGAAGATGCAGCGTGGAGGAGAGCAGGGATGAGCAGAGTCACATTTTGTTTTTAGTGAACAGATGACCGTCCTACCCTCCGTCTGACGTGTGCGGTAGTGTGTGATGGTCTGTGTGCAGCTGCACGTGTTTGTTCGTGTGCGTATCAGAGTGAGGCAGAGACTGAACCCCGCTCAGAGAATCGGATGAAGTCGGTGCTGAGTCCAGGGTGTTGTCTGCTGGATACAGCTGCATCACCGCCCCCTCCTGGACGCCTTCCTTACTGCACGACTGGCAGCTGCAGTGGAAGATCCGCTCCACCAGCTTGTCCACCCGAGGAGACTCGCTGCCAGGGCACTCCAGGGTCACCTGGGCAGGCACACAAACACATAAGGTCATAGTAACGCTGTCCCACATAGCTGAGAGGTGTGGGCCAGGTCTGGCAGTGATGGCACTATTTACATGATGGCACCTGGAGTAGGTGCAAGTGAGATTAACATAAATAGGTGGATTATTTAATTTCTCACTTGTTTTCCTTCATGTTTTTGGAGGAAAACTGGAAGTGAAGAGGTTGGATTCAATATAAAAAGGGATATTTATATTCAGCAAAAGGAAAAGCTGAAAAACTGAAGTTTATCTGACCTTGTTTCAGTGAAAGAACAGGATAACAGTCAGTGTAGCTAACAAATCTCTTTTCTGCTTGAAATTATAATTAAAAGTAGGGGAATTAAGTATTGGACAACTGACAGATTTTCTGTGTAAGCAGTGGTTTGTTTTACACTTTGTTTTTGTACTGAAAAAAGGACATAATCTTAATTTATAGCTGATTTTCTTGGATGCTTCTGTTGTTGGAATCCAACCTGCTATAAGATGTCAAGATAAAAATTTCACTAACACATTTTTGATATTTAGCTC